AGGATTTTGAATATTCAAAACACAAAGAAATGATAAATGTTTGAGGTGATTAAAAAAATCACAGAGTACAGCATATTAGACGGCATACACAAAAGCGATTATTAGCTACCAAAATCTCCCACAGATCTAAGCAGGGATCCTCAAACTATGGCCCGCGGGCCACACGCAGCCTGCTGAGGACATTTATCCGGCCCACCAGGTGTTTTTGCCGCCATTGCCTGTCCTGTTTAGCAGCCAACTTGTCCCAGGGCCCGCAGTCTAGCCCTCCAACGGTCTGAGGGACAGTGAACCGGCCCCCTGTTTAAAAAGTCTGAGGACCCCTGAGTCTAGGGTGATTAACCATAGCAACTGGACGTCTCAAAATATTACCAGGTATTTATATGTGACATAATACTTACATTCTCATCATTTCTGTGAAGAATATTCAAAGGATAAAGCAACTATAAATAAAGCTCAAGTTCTGGAGGGGAAAAACAAATTCTCTGATATAAATAAAAAATGATGGGAAATGTTCCTACAAAGCTACAGTTATGGAGACTGTGGTACTTGCCGTGAGAATACCCATGTAGATAAGGGAGTAGGACTCAGAGTCGAGAAGAAGGCCAAACGTTTATGGCCAATCGTTTTCTTAATAAAGGTGTCAAGACAATTCAGTAGGGAAAGAAATATTTTTTCCAAAAAGTGATGCTTAGACAACTGGATTTCCTCATGCAAAAGAATGAAATAGCGTCCTTTACTACTCATCCAACATAGAAAAATTAACCTAAAATGGAAGAGAGACCTAGTAAGTCTAATAGTAAGAGCTATTATTGTATAAACCTTACAAGAAATTACTGAGGTCAATCTTCAAAACTTTGGATTAGGCAATGGTTTCCCAGATGTGACATATAAAACATAAGCAACAAGAGAGAAATCAGACTTCAAAATTTAGAACTATAGCACTTCACAGGACACTATCGTGAAAGTAAAAGATAACCAAAAGAATGAGGGAATTGTGTGCAAATTCCATATCAGGGTAAGGGTCTAGTATCCAGAATATATAAAGAAACTTACAACTCAATAATACAAAAACCCAATTTAAAAATGGAAAAGTACTTAAATAGACATTTCTCCCAAGAAGATATATAAATGACCAATAAGCACCTGGAAAGATGCTCAAACCCATTTATTAGTAATTAGAGAAATATAAATCAAAACCAGAATAAGGTACCATTTTACACCCATTAGGATGGTTACAATAAAAAAGGCAGGAGTGTGATGTGGAGAAATTAGAACCCTTAGAAACTGCTACTGGAAAAATGGTAACAGTTTAGCAACAAAGAAGTTGACAGCTCCTCAAAAAGTTTAATACAGAGCTGCTCCGTGACCTAAGAGTGGAATTACTCTCAAATTACCCAAAAGAACTGAAAAGATAGGTCCACACAAAAACCTGTATACAAATGGTCACAGCATTATTTTGAACAGCCCCCAAATGGAAACAGCCTAAATGTCAATCAACTGATAAATGGATAAACACATGTGGTATATCCCTAAAATATTATTCAGCCATAAAAAGGTACTGAAATGACACAATTACAATACCTAACAAACACAACCAGTGTAACCTAAGTCTTTGTAACCTCAATGAATCCCAAACAATAAAAAAAGGTACTGAAATGTGCTATAATATGGATAAAACATTATATTTGAAAGATTTCCCCCTCTAATCAGGAAAAAAGACAGGGATGCTCACTTTCACCACTGCTGGTCCACGATGTACTGATGATTCAACCAGAGCAATCAGGCAAGAAGAAATAGGTAAGAGGCATCCAAATTAAAAAGGAAGAGTAAAACTATCTTTAGTCACATAGGGCATGATTTTATGTAAAGAAAATCCTAAAGCATCCTCAAAAAAAAACTACTCAAGCTCATAAACAAATTTAGTAAAGGTACAGAACACAAGATCAAGATACAAGATGCAACTATATTTCTACAATTGCAATAAACAATCTGAAAAGAAAATTAAAAAAAAATTCCATTTAAAATTGCATCAAAAAGAATGAAATACTTAGGAATAAATGTAACTAAGTGGTATAAGGTTTTTACACAGAAAACTATAAATCTCAGCTAAAAGAAATCAAATAAGACATAAATAAATGGAAAAACATTCTATTCTCCTGGATTGGAAGACTTAATATCATTAAAATGGTAACACTGACCAAATTGATCTGCAGATTTAATGAAGCCCTATCAAAATCTCAGTGATCTTTTTTGCAAGTTGAAACAGCAGATTCTGAAATGCATATGGAATTGCAAAGGAACCTTAATAACAATTTCGAAAATGAAGAAAAAAGTAGAAGACTTCTAAATTTCAAAACTTACTACAAAGCTAAAGTAATCAAATCAAAACAGTGTGGTACTTTCATAAGAACACACACATGTAATAGAATGGAGAGTCCAGAAACAAACCCATACATTTATAATCCACAGTTGACTGCTTTACAAGAATGCCCAGAGCATTCACTAGGGAAAGAATATTCTTGTCAGTAAACGGTGCTCGGAAAACTAAATATTCACATGTGAAACAATGAAATTAAGACCCCTACCACAAACTACATAGAAAAAGTAAAATGAATCAAGGGCATTTAAATACACATAACAGCAAACACTGTACAGGTCTTAGAAGCAAACGTAGGAGTAAATCTTCATGACCTGGATTTGGAAAAGCACAAGCAACTAAAGAAAAAAACAAATTTCATAAAAATATAAAACTTTTGTACATCTAAGAACAGTATCACAAAAATGAAGATAAGCTAGTAACTAAGAAAAAATATTTGCAAATCACATATCTGAAAAATTTTTCAAAATATTCAGGATATATGATACAGGTCTAGTATCCAGAATATATACTACAATCTTACATCTTAACAAATAATCCAATTTTAAAAATGGGTAAATGACTTGAATAGACTTTTCTCCAAAGAAGATACAAGACCAGTGCTCTAACCCCAGCTTTGGAACCTCTCCAAAGAAGATATAGAAATGACCAATAAACACATAAAAAGATGTTCAATATCATTAGTCACTGGGGAAATACAAATCAAAACAACAGTAAGATACCACTTTGCAGGCACTAGAATGGTTATCATTAAAAGACAGAAAATAACAAATTGACAAGGATGGGGAGAAGCTGGTTATAGAAACATGAAATGGCATCACTGCTATAAAACACAGTTTGGCAATTCTCAAAAGGAGTTAAACCATACCATACAGTAAAGGAATCGACATATAATGAAGTGATTCCACTTCTAGATATATATGCAAAAGAACTAAAACTGGGTGGCGCCTGTGGCTCAGTGGGTAGGGCACTAGCCCCATATACTGAAGGTGGTAAGTTTCAACCTGGCCCCAGAAAACTCCAACAACAACAACAACAACAACAACAAATAATAGCTGGGCATTGTGGCGGGTGCCTGTAGTCCCAGCTACTCAGGAGGCAAGAGAATTGTCTAAGCCCAGGAGTTAAAGGTTGCTGAGAGCTGTGATGCTGCAGCACTCTACTGAGGGTGATAAAGTGAGATTCTGTCTCTAAAAACAAACAAAAAGAACCTAAAACTATATATTTCAATATTTGAATATAAATGTACTTAACTCACTGTCCACAATGTCAAGAAGTAGAAACCAACCAAAGGTCTATGAATGAATGAATAAAATATAGCAGACACATACAATGGAATAGTATTCAGCCATAGAAGGAATAAAGTACTAAGATGTACTACAACATGCATAAACCTTGAAAACAGTACGTGAAGAACCCAGATACACAATTATATGATTGGTAACATACTGTAAGATTCCACTTACATAAAAATCCAAAAATTAGTTAAATCCAGAATTGGAAAGTAGATTAGCTGTAGCTAGGAGCTAAGGGAGGGGAGACTGGGGCCTAGGGAGTACAAGGGTCTCCTTTAGAGGTTAAAAAAAAAAAAGTGTGGATCTTGGAAGAGATGATAGTTATGCAACACTGTGAATGTGTTAAATGCCACTGAACTGCACATTTTAAAATGGTTAATTTTATGTTATGTGAATTTCTTGAAAGAAAAGAAGGGAAGAAGGGAGGGAGAGAATAAGTGAGTTGGAAGGGAGAAAGAAAGGAAGTTTACAAGTGCCTGTCTTCACAACACAGCGAGGGCTTTGATGCAGCTAAAGAGTCAAGTCTAACAGATATCAGTGAAGTTCCTTACAAGATTTTTTTTTTATTTTGTAGAGACAGAGTCTTACTTTATTGCCCTTAGTAGAGTGCTGTGGCGTCACACAGCTTACAGCAACCTCCAACTCCTGGGCTTAGGTGATTCTCTTGCCTCAGCCTCCCAAGTAGCTGGGACTACAGATGCCCACCACAACGCCCGGTTATTTTTTTGTTACAGTTTGGTGGGGCTGGGTTTGAACCCACCACTCTCGATATGCAGGGCCAGGGCCCCACCCACTGAGCCACAGGCACCGCTCTCCTTAGAAGATATTCCCTAGCACTCCTCTCTTCCATTTCCTACTTCACATCATCCTTTTCAGATCCACCTTACCCATATATACATTTTCTCATATAAAAACAAACTTCTCTGAGGCAGGAGGATCACTTGAGGCCAGGAGTTTGACACCAGTACAGACAACACAGCAAGATACAATCTCTTAAAGTAATAATAATAATAATGATGCCCAGGAGTGGTGGCATGCACCTGTAGTCCGAGGGTCTCAGGAGACTGAGGTCGGAGATCACCTGAGTCCAGGAATTCAAGACTGCAGTAAGCTAAGATTGAACCACTCTACTACTCCAGCCTGGTGAGAAAGTGACACTCCATCTCTTTTTAAAAAAGAAAACAAAAACTTCTATTACCCCCTTCTATCCAAGGACAAGTAAACACACAGTGCTTTTTCTCCTTGGGAGATGACTATGGGACATCACAGTGTGCTTTAGAAATACAAATGACAGTACATTTCAAGTTGGAAAAGAAATGATTCTTTACCTTTGCCAGTTCTCGTCTCAGCTCTTCTCGCTCCTCTTCTGATAGGTTGTCTGGAGTACTGATCGTGGCAGCAACATCTTCTCCTTCCTCAGGGACTGGGTCTGTCCTCAGCAGACCTTGTTAGGGATTTAAAAAAAAAAGTCTGTAAGGCGTGAAAGCTAAGTAAAATTTTCCTCTAGGCTTCTCCGACATCCCAGCTAGAATAAAGCCAATTAAGCTCAGATCCACACACCACCTTTCGTGACCTTCAAATGACCTGGCTCTCCCAGTGAAGGACAAAAGAAAAGTCTGGGCTAACCATAGGAAACCACGAACTCAGACTGCCCAAATATGAATTAGAGACAATAGGATTCTTTCAGCTTCTGTTCAGTGTCAGTCACACTAAAGTTACTACAGAGGCCCAGAATAGGGTCTTGCCAAGACTTTAAAATGATGCATGAGTAAATCAGTACAAATTAGGTGAAAGATTTTAGCCCTTTCGCATTAACCTGAGGGGGAGGGGGATTGTACACATCTTCAACATCTTGTGGTGATCAAACCCAACAAGCAGCAGCAGCCCCAGATAATACCAGACACCCTGAAGAAATCTTTATTCCTTTTCTTTCCATTAGTTGAGGCGGGAAACATCTTCCTTGTAGTTTTTTATTAATAAAAACGTACCTCATCCAGATACCTTCAAAGAAGAATCGTAATGTACACATATTCAGAGGAGCCATGACTTTCCAACAGCCACACAGAGACTGCCGACATTAAGACCAATCTCATAGTCTGGTCCCTTGGAACAGAGCCCATCGGGAAGGACTCCATGTTTCTGGAGACTGGCCAGGGAGGCAGCTGTCCCTCAACTCTCCCCTTGCTTCCTGCCCAACTCCCATCTGCAAGGCTAAGATGAGGCTAGCAAAGCACCCAAACCCTGGGTGCAAAACTGAAGGGGCCACTAAAACACTCAATATAAATATTTTAATGCAGTATTTTTTCAAAGTTTATATTAAAAAAATCCATGATGAACAAAATATCAACATTTTAAACAAACACAATCAGTTTACTGATATTTCCCTTTGCCTTGGGCTCCAAAATAACGCTGCACATACAGCACTGTTGCCAGTCCTGTCTTTATTTAAAATTATGATATTTAAATATCATGGATTTTTTTGCATCCATTTTGACTTTTCAAAAACAAACATTGTATTAACTTATCATTTGATGACTGAGCTTTATGGCACCCCTTAAACTTTACATCTGAGGCAACTGTGTGTGAAACATTAAGAAAGTTAAGATCATGAGAATAGGATTAAACTGATATAATAAAATAATTACACAAAAATCTGTATTCAGGTAAATTGATATAATAAAATAATTATACAAAATAATTGTAATCAGGGTCAGGTATACAGGATAATGGGACAGCACATGAGCCTCCACAAAGAACATACTATTCCAGGAAATTCACAAAACAGCTTGATATGAATATCAAAGGACTTCAAGAAAAAGACCTACAAAAGCCTGGCTGAAGTCAGGGAGGGCTTCAGGAAAAAGGTCCATAAGGGCCTGGCTGAGGCCAGAAAGGACCCCAGGAAAAAGGTCCGTAAGGGCCTGACTGGGGCCTAAAAGGGCTTAGGAAGTCATTTTAAGATTAACTAAAACAACACATACAGCTGACTCACTGGACAATAAAAAAACTAGTTCTTATAGGTGGAGATAAGAAGATGAGCTTTTTCTCCCCAGCTCCTGATATGAGTAGGACATTAACTAATCTGTCCCACAAGAACACAGAAAATTAAGTAGGTAACATCTAGCTCCAAAATCCATATTCCTTTTCCTTTATTTTCTATAACCCTGTTAGTGATTAATAAATATCTTTAAAAATAAAAATAACTAAAAGCTAATCAAATGGGTAATAAAAAATTAGGACATGAAAAACCACAAAGAGAACATATATTATTACTGTTACAAACACCCATTTACTGATCAAGGGAATAAGTGGAGTACATCCAAAGTTCAGGGTCATCACTGTCTCCACAAAGGGTGTTGATACTCCCCCACACACACACACACCTAGGCCCATCTATAAATTCTACTCTATTACAATTGTCTTTATTGTCCTCATTCCCTTGTCTCCAGGAACATTAAAAACACTCATGGGTTGTGTGAAGACTGACTCCCTACAAGTGAGCACTCACCTTACTTGCCTTACTCTAACTAGACCCATCCACCCATTTTCATGTCACAAGTGTGGGATTTCACACACTCCTCTAGCAAAAGAAAAGAAAAGCTCAATGAATAATTGCTTCTGTAGGTCTCCTCTAAAATATTTTCAAAAGGACTGCCCAAGTAAATTTCTATAATAGTAACCTGAGTGTGTCTCCCTTCAGCTTAAATTCCTTTAATGGTTCCTGACTGTTTTCACAACAAAGTTCAGCCCCTTAGGTTGGCACACAAGCCAAACTGGATTCATCTCCTGCTATCTGGCATTGGCCCGTCTTGCTCCGACTTCTGCCAGGTCAAACCGTGAACAAGGTACTGCGCTGTGCACTAGGAGAAACCATTTCTGGGGATCTGTGTGTGCTTGCAAATTTATCCTTTATGTTTGTCACATTAGTTGACATGAGACTGAGGATGGGAGACACATACACCAAGTGACAATCATGAAAGGCAGTGTCATAAGAATCAGTTCAGAATTACCGATAAACATTCTTCATTTTATTTTTAATTGTTTTGCTCAGAACTCCCAAGCTCTCCAACTAGAACAGGACTCCAAAACACAAAACTCTGGTACTAAACCTTGCATTTAACAGAAAAGGCTCTTTCACACTATTTTTCAAATCTACTTAACCAAGGGGAAAAACATAATATCCGATTGCTAATAGCACATCATGCATACTGCCCAATTCCAAAAAGAATCTAAGAGGATTCTTAAACTATTCAAGTGTTCAGTTAGGCTCCCAAGAAAAATAAATCTCTCAGAGTAGGAGACTGAGGAGTTACTGACATTTGGCTTCAGGACTGCCTGGAAGACCTGGAGATTTCAGTTCAGCATCTTAAGAAAGTTGGTACTTACGTGTTCTGCCTTTTCTATGTTAGCCTGTAGGTGGCAGCAACTTATCAACGTTAAATTTTAAAGGTATTTTAAAATAATCAACTGGGGGAAAAAGTCAGGAAATAAAGGACACAAAAGAATAGAATGAATAGATGCCAAAATCACCAGCAAAACATGATAGTCATGCCTTCAGAAAATTATTAGCCACAGCTGCCATCAGTGAGCACATTCTATTTATAGCCAAATCTGAGCTAAGGGGTCCAATATATTAAATATATATATACATATATGTGTATGTGTGTGTGTGTGTATATATATATATTTTTTTTTGAGACCGAGTCTCAAGCTGCCGCTCTGGGTAGAGTGCCAATATATCAAATATTAAGTCATTTATGTTCAGCATTTCTATGAGGTAGATTCACTAGCACCATTTACATAGGAGCACATGGAGCTTGCAGGAGCGCAGCGGCTGGCCCAAGGTAAACACACCTGAATACTTGGTAGTGTTATGATTTTGAACAGTCTGATTTCAAAGCAAATGATTCAAATCACTGATCTGAAAACAAAGTAAATGGGGCAGAAAGTCAGACTTGGAAGGTATCTAAAATCAATAATAAAAATAAGACGCTGTAAAGACAATTATTAATCCGGTAGACTAGATCAAAAGCAGTCTTCATTACTTCCAACTCTACAGTTTCTCCAAACCAGGAATCTAAATCTTACCTCTTATATTTTTTCTAGCTATTATTCTTGTTTCCTATATGTTCAGTAATAGTATGGTATTTAATATGAAATAACTTTGGAGAGAAAAAGATATTAATTTCTCATTCACAGCTTGGCACCTGTGGCTCAAGTGGCTAAGGCACCAGCCACGTACATCTAAGGTGGCAAGTTCAAATCCAGCCCAGGACTGCCAAACAACAATGACGTCTGCAACCAAAAAAATAGTCAGGCGTTGTGGCGGGCGCCTGTGGTCCCAGCTACTTGGGAGGCTGAGGCAGGAGACTCGCTTGAGCCCAGGAGTTGGAGGTTGCTATGAGCTGTGATGCCACAGCTCTCTACGCAGGGGGATAGCTTGAGGCTCTGTCTCAAGAAATAATAATAATTTCTCATTCACAACATGAAAATAGGAAGATATTAAAGTATAGAATACTTAAACCATAAATAATCTAAAAATTTCTATTTGTTCATTAATTTTAATGTTTCTTTTCAGAATCTGATGAAAAGTTGTTTTTAAAAGACAATGTAAAGAGAGAAAATATAATTTTTATTTATTTATTTTTTTGATACAGAGCCTCAAGCTGTTGCCCTGGGTAGAATGTCGTGGCATCACAGCTTACAGCAGCCTCCAACTCCTGGGCTCAAGCAAGTCTCTGGCCTCAGCCTCCCATTTAGCTGGGACTATAGGCACCCGCCACAACACCCAGCTATTTTTTGGCTGCAGCCGTCATTGTTGTTTTGGGAGGCCCGGGCTGGATTCGAACCCACCAGCTCAGGTGTATGTGGCTGGCACCTTAGCCGGTTGAGCCACAGGTGCCAAGCTGATTAATATTTGTTAACATCCAATATACCACCGACTGTAAAGGGAGATACACATGTTATCTCATAAAAACAAAAAAACCTTACAACCTTACAACCACCCCTGAGAAGAGCAATGCTTATTTCCATCAGGAAACTAAGGTCCTCTGAGGGTACATAATTTGCCTAGAAGCACAGAGGCTGGATTAAAACTCAAATCTTTCTGACTTTGGACTCCTGCTTCTTCAGGTACACTTTTTCTTTAGAGCAGAGCGAGACAAGGCATTAGTGCTTTCTTTCTTCACAGGGACTTTTTACTTTCCAGAGGGGATGAGAACTTGTGAGGATCCCTAGCTGGAGAGTCATAGGTAACAGTGTCAAACCCAAGTCACTAAAAACTAGTTATAATCCATTCCATCCTGCTAGCATTTTAGCCATTGTCTTAATTCTTCTTAGCCTAGTTGTATAAAGAGATTGTTGGCCTATCTTAATTCCACCCATGATATCCCTGACCCTGCCCCAGGTGAACACTAAACAAAAGAGTGACAAATTGAGATTGTC